AAACATGTTAAAAATAGCTATTTAAATGCTGATCAGCTGTAGAGTTTGTGTGTTGCTCATTCAGAGAGCTGGAGCTAAATTAGCTAGAAATATTCCACCCTGTTAGGTTCCACCCTGTTAGGCTATGTATGGGATATGCAGCCTACTGAGTAGAAATTGTATAAGAATATTTATTATTTTCATTAAAATGACTTGTAGATTTATTATTTGAGTGTATTTCTTGTGTATGATAATGAATAATAATGGTATAATCAAAAAGTATTATTATTATTATTATTATTTTATGAGTGTATTTCTTTATGTTACTACAGTGGTATTATTATTATTATTATTATTATTATTCTAATTATTATTATTATTATTACTATTATTATTAGTTGTAGTAGTAGTATTGTTGTTGTGATTCTGAATCTACTTGTTAAGAGACCTACTCAGTTCCACCCTGTTATATTCTATTCCCTGTTAGGCAAAGATTACAAAAAAATATTCTAATAACAACAGTAAATGTTTGGTATATTTGTATATTGTTTTGTTAAATGAGGTACATATAATGCATCTACATATACTTTTATTTCTAATTAATAAAATTCCTCATACAAGACAACAAAATGGGGACAAAAAATGCACAGATTCCATTATTCTGACATTGTACTCTTCATAAAATTAAAACTGCTAATGCTAAAAGAATTAAACTATTATCATAACAAAAGGGACACATTGTATCCCAGAAAAGTTCAGTATTCAGTATTATTTGACTTGTACATTAGTTAAACTCTGTGATTACCATGTACATGTCCCTAATAGGGTGGCAAACGTCTGGAGAAATATATACAAAAAACATCCCATAATTATAATATTTTCAACCCCTGAGCTTGGCAAACATGCATTCCTCATAAGTATGGTATAGTCCTGACAAAATGTTTAAACCATCTTTCAGAAAACAGACAGCCAAATATGTGGTCCAAAACAGGAATCACCCATTATGCTGTTATTAAGAAACGTTTTCATTTAGCTATGCCTTTTCAACTGATGTTGCACATGTCACTGGTCGTTTGTTGTGGCAATAAACTTTTGTCTTTGATTTTGGCTATCTGACTGATTTTCATTCAGGTGCGGGTCAGGTGTCGGTATTTAGAGCGGATTGGATCCGGAATTTTATTTTATTTCTGTCGGATAGCGGTTCGGATACGGGTTTAAGTATGACGGTACGGGCGGGTGCGGTTTGTCAAAATCAGACCCGTGCCAGGAGCAGCGATAATTATCTGATAATTATAAATTATTTTCATATAAATCATATAAATAATAATTTATTATTTGACGCGACTTGATTACGTCAGTTTTGCGGGCGAGGATCGGAAATTTCTGCGGTAGGGCGGTATAATCAAAATGTCTCCCGTTGTCCAAATTTATATCGTATACCGTTTATACCGCACAGTACTATTGTAACGGATGTCAGGATCTTTTAGGGTCAGTGTTTTCCATCCAGGTTCTTAGGGACTCCCAAACAGTCCACTTTTTTTGCTCCCTCCCAGCTCACTGGCAGGTCCACATTTTTGCTCCCTGCCCGTCCCTGAGGACTGGGTTGGGAAACACTGCCTTATGTCATAAGTATAGGATCTTTTTAATCCCCGGGGCTTCCTCCTACCTACCTCATGGGTGGTATTTTATTTAATGCCTGCAGGTTTAACCCTGGGGTGCCTCAGAACTCCTTGCCCTTGTATTTCGGTATTTACCCGGAAGCTCAGCCTCGCCACATTAATGCCTAGCGATCTCCTTTTCAGTTATTTGTTAGTAATGTGCTACAGTATTTCCCTCACTTGTATGCCGCTTTAGACAAAGTATCTGCTAAATAGTTAATGTAAATCTGCATTACTTATTAGAAAATGAAGCCTGCAAAATATTCTTTGACCTTAGATATAGTTTTAAATGTGGTTTCAAAAGCATCTACCGTAAGATCTGCTGTAAATAGTGTGGTAGTGCTATGGAAACAGGGAGAGCAAAATCACAGTAAAAAAACAAAATGGGGGTTCCATGCAAGTTACGCTTCTTTCAGCAGGTCTTACATGTCTGTCATATGGAGGACTCGACCTATATATATGACTTTGTATCTTTTAACCTTAAATTAACTGGACACAGTAAGTTGATAACCAATGCAATTGTTTCATATTTTAAAAGTTATCCCTGGCTAGAAGTTAGACCATATACTCCTGTTATAGTTTAGTTGAATATGGGTAATAAAACATACCGTTTATGTTCCTATAGCATATATTCACAACTACTACTTATGAGTCTGCTGCCTGTAGGGTTTACTGCATAATTGTCTTTGAACAAATTTTACGCTGAAGTGGAGAATCAAGATTTATGTTTGTCATGGTTCTGCATGGGAAAGAGCACTTTTAATTGACACCATTGTGCCTTGAAGGAGCTGGGGCAACTTTAAAAATAAAAAAAAAAGGTTAAATAAGTAAATTAAATTTCACGCAATATATGATACAGGGATTCAATGAAAGTTCAGCTGAAGTAGGACTTACGGATGCCTCCATCTATGTAAGCCCAGGGCCATACAAAGGTTTTGTGGCTTTATCTCCCCAATCAGCTGTTTTTTAATGGATTTACTTGTAAAGGTGTAAGTTGTCCCTACTCTGTATTTTTCATGCAAATTTCTGTCACTGCCATTAGGCTTTATGCGTGCGCTCATGTCATAAGTGGCTGTCTGTTCAGTACTATGCCCAGCAGATATCCAAATTGGAGACTGGTAAATAGGGAGGAGAATGTAATGTGGGACTTCCATCTCAGTGTAAATTAGAGGCAAAATAAGAGCAAGGTGGATTTGCAGTCCCTCATTACAGTGGGCCGTCCTTGCCACTGTTTATTTTAGAGTGTGTGATCTGCTTTAGCTGGTGGAAATTAGTGCCCAATCTCCCGTCTGCATTTTAAATGAGCTGTCAGCATTCCTCCTTCTGCTGCCGTGATGGGCTGGATCTGTTCTGCTTTTTGGATACATCTTTTTAAAAATATCTTAAAAGGGACTCTATGTGTAAAATAAATTGAATTGAAGTTTTAATCTCAAGTTTAAGTCAAGAACTACATTAAAACTTTTCACTATTAGGTGGGGTAATGAAGACTGTAAAACTAAAAGTAATTGAAATGGAGGGCTCTAACTAATAGCTGTAAAACAAATGCTATCCTGAGTATTATGGGAAGATGGGACTGGACTTGACAGGAAGACATATACCAAGGACACATTACTCTCACTTAGTGTGCAGTGGATATCAAAATCTACATACCACAAATCTACAACCTTTCAGATTTTGTTAATATCTTAATAGATTTTGTTTTCCACAATCTTTGCAGTGCAGTTCACTCTCAGTTAAATTGCAGGATGAATTCCTGTGGTCAGGAATGGTCCTGTTTTCAATACAATTGAGGTCTCAGCTCTGACTGGGCCATTCCAGGACATTGATCTTTCTTCTCCTAGTCTATTCCTAGGTTGAGTTTGCTTTGTGTTTTGGATTGTTGTCGTATTGAAAGACTAAATTATCATTCTGCTTTCTAGCAGAGGGCAACAGGATTTGCACCAAAATATCTTGTTTTTTTAGAGCTATTTATTTTCTCCTCAGTGTGAACTAGAGCTGCACCGTGAGAGAGTACAAGCTGAAGAAAAACAGCATTTAAGGAACCTCACATTTCAATATATTTTAAATTAAGGATTATTTAAGGAGTATTTGTAACTGTGGGGTATTCTAATTTCTCATAGACTTCTCTTACTTATAACTACGCTTGCCCATTTGCGACTGTGATTTATTTTGGCTGATTATGAACTTCCCATGGACATAATTGAAACCATTTTGAATTTGATTCAGGGACTACAGGGTAGCTACTATCACAATTGCAGCAATCAAACTCAGTAACTGCCCTGTTTTTAATATTTCTAATTGATTCAACTCAGAGAGTGCAAGGTAATTTTCAGCATGTTTGTTTGATGCAGCTCTGGGAGTGGTTCACTCGCAGTATGTCTGATTGACTTAAGTGTGGGACTTCTGGCTATAGAGTTTCTCCCTGACCATTTTGTGATGGATATTCATACTGAATAGGGAAAAAACAACATTAAGCTGGGTAGATAAGTTTCTTTGTGCACCAAGGGGGTAGAGCCAAATCTGACAGCTGGACCCAGCTGGGGCAATCTTTTTTAGCACCTTTGAAGATTACTGTATTTTTTGGGGGGCACAGGTGGTCATTTGGGCCCCCCTCCACCAATGCCCCCTGTGGCACAGACACTGCCAACCACCAAGGCCAGATATCACCGACTTTGCATTCAGCACAGAGTGATGAGCTGTGCTGGCTTTGTGCCAGCCATACCTTTTGGAATTATGAACAAAACGTTTGATCTTGATCTCATCACTATACCATGTTTCCCAGAAAATAAGACCTAGCATGATTTTTCAGCATGCTCGTAATATAAGCCCTACTCCAAAAATAAGCCCTAGTTACTATCCCATGGATTGTACGGTAACTAGAATGAGATGCGAGTATATGTAAACAGGAAACAGGAAATAATATTTATTTATTTAAAATTTGAATAAATGTATACACAGTAGATTTTTGACATGATGTCTGTATTTGAATAAATGTGGATTTTTGTTAACGAATTCCGGTAAATGTACTGTAGTTTTTGTATATGGGAAAATAAAACATCCCCTGAAAATAAGCCCTAATGCATCTTTTGGAGCAAAAATTAATATAAGACCCTATCTTATTTTCAGGGAAACACGGTAGTATAACATGTAGTGGTTCTGTGGGCCCCATAGTTGCCATGGTGCTATGATGGGAGCAGTCATGGAAGTGAAGGCCTGGATCCATGAGGCAAAATCTGGTTGAGTTTAAAGAGCACAGTGTGAAGACTGTGTTAGAACGATTAATTATTTGTGTTTTACATGGACATCAGGGCATATTTGTATTGTATGCAGGCTTCTCACCATCCTGATTTGCTTCTGTTTCAGGAACATTGGACAGGACAACGTGCCACTAGACTTTCACCTTGACCACATCTATTGCTAATAGGAGACTGAATGTGGATTAATGAAGACCAAGTGACAGAGGGTTTGGCTTCTTATCACGGTCTGACCTTAAAGGGCTTTACCGGACCACTGTACTTGCTCTGATGGTTTCATTTTCATTTTATTGCTTTTGTTTGTGTTTACAAAAGAAATTAAGGCTTACATGTGTAACGACCACCTGGTTTGTAATAAACAAACAATCTTGCATTGAGCTTCACATTGTGCTGTTAATCAGGCACAATCTTGGTTTCCTCCTCATTGGCCCGTGTACAGGATATTAATAATGTCAAGATCTCCCTGGAGGAGGCGCTCTTCATGCCAAGCTTTATAGTCCTCAGTGCCTTATACTTTCTAACATGGACAAATGCAATCTGAAGTCAAAGACATTGCTAAGTGCCCACAGACTGTGTATTTCTTTGAACATAATATAATACAAAACAAAGTATCTTACAGTAAATTGGTACATAATATTTATTTTCAATAAGAAAAGTTTCCATATTTTGAGACTTCTGTTTTTTATAGAGGTGGGAATGCAGGACAAACTCCCCCCCCCCCTCAAAAAAAATTGATTTCTTTATACATGCTTTATGTCTTGAATGTTTCTTGTACAAAGTGTCTGTACCTTAAACGGCATATTGGCAGCCTCCTGTCATGCATTTTCAGCACATCTAATTAAATGGAAGAGCATTTTCTTTTCTTTTTACATTAAACTCCATTTAAAAAGCCTGCTTACTGCTTCTGATTACCTCACTAAATCCCTTGGTTCATATCAGTGTCATTGCGCTACTGTTTAGTTGCATTTTATGTATCTGCTTTTCACAGCAAGTGTAAGCCGGGCTTATAATCATACTTCCTGCACTAATTCAGTTCACTCTAATCTGAAAACTGAATCCACATAGTTGCAATACAGAAATTCCAATGTCAGTGCCTCTCGTATGGGTAAAACTGCACTGTGCTCTATTTTGTGTACTTGCCGGAACCAGGCTTTATTGTCATATTAAGAATGTGTCTATCTACTGTTTTTTTCCCCCACTCATCATATAGGTGCCAAACTGAAACAGTTTTCTTACCCCACTGGCACCATTTGAATAGAGCGTCTGATTCCAAGACTAAATACAGTATTGTGCTGCACAGGATCACAATGGGAACTGGAATTTCTGAGTCTCTCCATGTAAAGCTGTTAGGAATACAATCAAGAAGTGTCAAATCAAGAAGCCATATTGAGTGATTCCCAGGTTTATTTCATTAGCCACTATAGTTAGTTTGTTCATTCATTCATTCATTCATTCATTCATTCATTCATTCATTCATCATCTTCTATACCTCCTGTCTTATACAGGCAGGGAATAACCCAGGAAAGAGTGCCAACCTATTGCAGGGCACCAGCACATTCACACCTACTGTATGGGCAATTTGGCAACTCCAGCTCAGGTTGGCATGTTTTTGGACTGTGTGGGAAAACAGAGAACTCAAAGGAAACCCCATAACGACACGGGAAGAACATGCAAACTCCACACAAACGGAACTCACTGTATTTATACCTGTTAAATAGGGTAGTTAGTTATGTTAACATTAGTACAGTGGTACCTCGGTTCTCGAACTCACTAGAACTTGAATTTCTTGAAAGTCGAAGAAACCGGTTTGACCTAGAACTCGATCTGAATATCAGAAGTTGAACCGTGAATGCTGACCTAATATAAATTGTACGCGCCAGGGAATGAGTCATACTACAATGCAATTCTTACTTGAATGCCTTCTTCACAGACTGGACAATTAACCAAATAAAGCAGCGCAACATTACAGTAACTAACAATAAATAAACCANCAATTCTTACTTGAATGCCTTCTTCACAGACTGGACAATTAACCAAATAAAGCAGCGCAACATTACAGTAACTAACAATAAATAAACCACTAACTTACGTGTACTATTAGAGCATTTATGTAATTTATTTAAACTTTATTTTAACAGGTAAATTAACTGAAAACCAGTTCTCACTGCTTTACGTGATATTCGGGAGAAATAACAGATTACGCATTGGAACTGCCTGGGATACAAACGTCATGCATGTAACTAAACTCTTCAACCAATAAGGGCAAAGGTGTGTCGTCACGGAGGCGGTTCCAGTTTGTGCAGCTGGGTGAGAGGTCGCAATGCATCTAACCGTAATGCATTGCGTCAGGATCAGGCCCTCATTCAGTACAAGCACCCTGAATGGCGATGCAGGGGAGCACCTAGAATGGGATGCCAGTTCATTGCAGGGCACGATACAGGGGAACTACCTGAATGGGATGCCAGTCCATCGCAGGGCATGATGCAGGGGAACTCCCTGAATGGGATGCCAGTCCATCGTAGGGCATGATGCAGGGGAACTCCCTGAATGGGATGCCAGTCCATCTCAGGGCATGATGCAGGGAAACGCCTTGAAAGTTCAAGCTTTGTAAACACAATGTCTAGGTGATTAAATGGAACTGAGCAAATTTTGAAATAGCAATATTTAAACAGTGTCACAAAGTGATAGCAAAGAAATGGGGACTTTTAAAATTTGATCCTGTTAGTACAATAACTGAAAATAATTTAAAGGATCTTTCTCCAGCTTTGCAGACACATTGTATGGGTGAACAACTGGAACTGATCAAATTTTGAGACAAATTTTTAAACTGAAGTAACATCATTTAATGACAGCAAAAGGAAGGATGAAAGCAGATGACATGTCACATTGTGATTGTGATAAGTCAAAAAGTATTTAGTGGATTTTATTACTCCTTCTGAAAAGGAGTACATGGATGAATATCTGTTGGCAGCTGCTCTGCTTGGCAAATTCTGTGTGTGATATACTCTATGTGAAAGAGCCAAAAAATAACTTTTATTTTTAAATACTGCTCTTGATTTGTAGCTAATCCCATGTATTTATTGTAGATAAGAACATTCATTTTATAAAATAAAATGCTGTGTCCCGTTTGAACCTATATGATTTGTCTCATTTTCAGTGGATAAATATTTTCTGAAAAGGTGGATAAATGTATGGCATAGTCTTTTGTAGGTATAACTATGGGTTTCTATTTTGCTGCTTAATGCATTTGGAGAGCCAAGACAATGCAGCATAGCTCATAAACCACACTGATGTTGTCACTATCAATAAAAAATTATTAAGGTTTCCAGAATGGGCTGAAAAATTGACAAACCAATTTACCAAGACAGAGAAATACTTGTTTCACATATGGCAGTGTCCTCACAGATCTAACATTATGCAAAGGCAATGATTTGCATTACAGAGAAAGATATATTACAATTACACAGATTAAGAATCACCTAGGCACTGTGTTCCTTGCTAACCAATTTGCGTATGCCCAGCTCTGGAGCTGAATGAGATTTGCATTTGCAATTTTTTGGCAGTCCTGGCAACTTTGAAAGTATACAAGCTTGCAACTTAAGAAGTATCCTTTAACTTTGGGCTATTTGTTTACCTCAACTGTGGCACCAGTCTGTGATAGAGTATAATGAAGCCTGTAGGACAGGGGTCTCCAACTCCGGTCCTGGATAGCTACTAACCAGTAGGTTTTCTATCATACCCGGCTTCTGATGAGCCACACATGCTCTCAGGTAAATACCAGGGCCAGGTGTGGCTCATCAGAAGCCAGGTAGGATAGAAAACGTACTGGATAGTAGCTCTCCAGGACTGGAGTTGGAGACCCCTGCTGTAGGAGGAGATGGCCATCTTGTTTTGTTAAAGAGTTATGTATGGTGGAGTAAAAACTCAATCATTTGCTTTTGACTCAAAAGGTTAAAATGTCTTTTTTGTATGCATCTCTGCAAGAAATAAATAAAACAAGTCCGGCTCATTTAGAGACAAAGCTAACGTCAAAGGGCCTTCTGTGCAGTTTTACAAAGTGTGATGTGATTAATAATTGATGCTGAGCTGCCTGTTTCAGTCTTGCTCTAGAGGGAACACATTAAGATTACAGAATGTGCAGACTGTTGTTGTGCAAACTAATTTCCAGAAAAATATTGATTTCCTGAGTCTGTGAGTGAGTATATAATGTGGGGGATTATCTGAATATATGTCAGGTTTGTATCTTTGAAACTGGAAATGCCAGTTTGGAAACTGGAAAAGCAGAAAAATCCCAATACAAAACTACCCCTGTGTTCATGCTTTCACACTATGCTTGTTGTCTTTTATTTACTTATTTTTTCCCCCTTTAAATCCATGGACTTAACAGTTCAGGTATATTTCCTATTTTATTATTTTTTTCTGTGCAGATTTCAAATAAGGAGAGAATAAATTTGTCTCAAGGGCTCTTTGCTGCTTCAGTGTGTGCGCATCAGTTACTTTATGATTTTGTAGCAAAATAGGCAATGGGGGGGAGGGGGTGCAGGAATTTTCAAATACTACTAAGGGACCTGATTTCTGGGGAACTGTCACCTAATATTCCAAAAAGCTGGAAAAAAATCAGCAATTGTTGGCAAGATAATCATCAAAAAAGGGACAGTCTGAACCTTGTCTGACAAAATGAGAAGAGGAGAGCTTGGGGGAGGATGAAGAACGTGGCCGTGTACTGATGCCTGGAATATTGATGGACAGAGTGAGGCCAGCTCACTGTCATGTCATTTTGGGCTATCAGACGGGCTATCATATGAGCTATCAGACGAGCTCCTGCGGACTTCAGTGACAGCAGACTGCTGTCCTCTTGGTATCATCTCCCTTCCTACTGTCATTCTGAGAGCTTCTCGGGATTAAATAACGTAACCTGGAATATCACTGTGGAATCCAAATCTGCTGTATTTTCTCCATAAAAGCCTAAAATTTTTAAGTACATTAACATCCATATAGAAAAGACATTATTAATATTATAGTGTTATCATTAAATTATAAATCGTTTGTGTTTTGTTGTGATGTTTTGTAGCAGATAAAACTAGTATTATATGTTATTATCCTAAGATGCTAAGCAGCATACTGTACAAAAATGCAATCTCGTCCAGAAGGCATAGCTAACTGCTCAAAGGATAAATTGTTACAGACATTGAAGGTTCTAGAAGCTTTTCACACTTGCTTTTCACACTTATTAATAGTAGCCTCATTTGAGTATGTCACACTATTGTAACTCAAGAGGTTTTCATGGGTGTTGCATTTTTGTATTTATAAGTTTAAGAGTCATACCATATTGACAAACAATGTGTTTTCCTAACAGGTGTCATATTATCACCATAAGTTCCTATTGGGTATTTTCACTGGCTCACTGGAAGTGGACAGTTGAGATGAAGTTGCTGCCAGTGTTCATGATAAACAACACTTATAAAAACCATATCCTACAGTTGAAGCCCTTATCAGCCTGATGGATGTGGCAAAGGGGCCACACTTGAATGCCAAGTTTGCTTTCTGCACAGAACTAGTTACTTTTTCCAATTCCTGTGGAATAACAGCATGATTATTTCAGTTTTTTGTTCCTCATCCTCGGCAATAGTTGTGGTGCGCTCTCACCTTATTAAACTGTTATGCTCCACAGCACTTCAAACTGGTTTGTAGAAGGAAAAACCATCTTGTTGCTGCAATTGATCCCTCATGCTTTTATCCATTTTATTTACACTGAATAAACTACTCTTGCTTCAATTAAAACTTATCGAGGAGATAACTCATACCCAAATGAAGTGACATCACCACCATCCTTCCAAATGCAGATGAATTATATCATATACAGCTGAATAGTTTGGAAAATGGGGCGGTGGGGCATGGAAAATTATGCAGAAAAATTACCACAGTCCCGTGAAGCACTGGAAGCATTTTCTTGAAGTCCTGCCTTACACTTGTTTTTCTTCTTTCTCAGAAGGTGATGCACAATGAGTGTTCTATACTTCATTTTGCAATTGCTAAGCACATTAAATACAAAAGATTTTTTTTTCCTGATGTTACACCTAGAATCGTAGACTAATAATCAATACAGAGTTTGATTTACAATACAGAGAAACTTACATAAATGCACAGGCCACCTTATTAGGAACAGGCCAGTTTATTAGCTGTTCACCGGCTAATTCATGCAAAAATCTAATCAGCCAATCATATGACAGCCACTCAGGGCATAAAATCATGCAGACATGGGTGAAGAGCTTCAGTTAATGGTCAGATGAAACAATCTGGAAGAAATGTACTTGGGCAGTCTTCTTGATGCACTATAGCAGTGTTTCCCGGTCCGGTCCTCGAGGACCTCCAG